AGAAAAATCATCCAGTAAAATAGTTGAACTCGCCTGGATTATTTTTGAAAATTAGATTATTCAGTGGACGATATATATAACGCCATTCGTGAGGAGTAATGATCCAAAAGTATCCACAATAAAACATGCAGTATGGCAATTAATTCCAGGGTGCTTGATGCTGTTGCCACTCGCTCAGATCAAAACAATCGAATGAATCCAGATAATTGTGTCAGCCATTGAACGAGCCATCTAAAATGACCTTATGATTGCAGGAAACTTATGGCTGAAACTCACCGTATGTTTTTAGAGAAGTGTCATCCTTGTTGTTTGGCAATGGAACTCGAGAATGTGAAATTAGGCAGGCAGTGGTCGGTATAAAAGATTTTACAGGATAGTGCATAGTTTAAAACAGGATGAGGTGTTAAGCGAAGGAACACTAAGAATTAGATCCAGATAACTATTCAATCCTTGATTGCATTGTTAGCTAATGTATATTTACGCTATTTACAGGTCATATTTGCTAGAGTTTGATGTTTAAACAAGTCTATGTCGCTGAAGCATGTAAATGCTATTAAAGCTTGTTAACGAACCATCAAAGCTAATAAGTTGATATAGATGATCAACTTTTATTATCGATTGAGCTAGTAAGTTATGTGAACTAATAGATATAACATTACGATAATATATGTGACCATTATTCAAAGGACTATACGAATACTGGGTTTACACAAATAAAAATCGATTGAGAAGGTTAAGGTGGATATAAGGATTAAGAATAATAAGTTGCGTTTCTTTAGTTGGGCTCACCAATGTAGAATTATAGTCTACTATGATATTAGTACTGCTCTAATAATAGGCCTAATCCTAAATCTGTAGATTTATCATGATATGACTTACTAATCTATAAGATCTTACGTGGAAGTCACACCATCGACTACACCAACTCACTTTATCGTATCAATTACCAATACATGATGTAGAACAAGGTTAGGCTAGAGAAAGAACAATATATTTAATATGAATAGAAGATATAAGGTAACATTCAGCAGAGACCACGACTGCATAGCCGAGCCATGCCGTTCGATCAACTCCAGTCTATTCAATTCATTATTCGCGCCTTCTCCATCGTTAGGTATTTCTTCGCGTTAAATATTGAATACCTATTTTCCGAGTAATCTCGTATTCAGCTTTGAGGATAGTGTGGTTATGGTCCAATGCCACTACAAACTCAACTTGTGGTGTTCCTCAACATGGACATTTTCTCTGTAATAATCGTGGATGTTTCGCACTGCATAATTACATGTATTTGTTATTGTATTCAAATTTCTCAAGTCTTCCTATACACGCAACTATTAACACTTACTTCATTGGTATTTTGAAGTAAGTTCATAGGCCCGTTTCCAAAACCATAGTACATTATGTGGAGTTTGTCAAGTCAAATTTATTTATAATTAATCTTCAAACTTTTTTAGTAAATCGACTAACATAAAATAAATGTTTTCTAAAAGTAACACCCATTAACTAATGGAGAAGACATTTTCTCCTTCATATTTCTTCTCTTTAAATGCAAAAGGGTATCCATTTTCTAGGAATATAGATTTATAAATGGAAAACGTGTCCCCTCAGCGATCCAATAAATACATTTTATGATAACATAAGCACAGAAAATAAATGAAGTTTGGTTTTCTAGCTGTTGGAACTCAGATGTACAGCTGGTGAATAATCCATTTCAAGTAGACTTTTTAAGTATAGATCTTTGTATTGATCAAAGAACAGTTTGACGCGTCGATGGAAGAGGGTTATCGATAATACTGAATAGAGTAACAAACCTGAGATCTTTTTATTTCATAGTTCTTGATAACACCACAAATAACATTTAGAAATGAATATGCGAACCGTTAGAAAATCCCAAGTGACCTTGACGTTGAGTTTAACAGAAAAAAATGCATATGCTGATGTGATATCTTCAAACATTTACTCAAATCAAAAAGGGTTAACATCCTATCTCGTTAAGCTTTAAAGCATTAAATAAAGAATATATCGACCTGAGTAGTAGTAGAAAAACACAAAAAACGAGACTGACTGTAGATCACCAACGTGAATGATCTATGTCGAATGATTGTAGGACTACTCGAGTTAGACGTGGTTGACAAGACAAACTAGCTAACGTCGAAGTCACACCCCGTGGTCAGCACCTTACGTGGACTACCCCATTCACGTATCAAGGTACCATAGATGCTTTGAAGACTGTACAACACAGAAGACGTTATTACAGAAATATATTAGTTAAAGTAGATAAAAGCGAAAGTAAGACCACCATCGCATGGCTCAGTCCATAGCATACGATTAACTGATGCGCGTTGGTTGTCCTTGACCTTCACTAGGATCGATGATTTGTTTGATATTCAATGACCCAACTGCCGGATGATTTGGCTAGGGCTTAATGACATTTCGCTGGGCCTACATGACATTCAGAGGACCACATGGTTTGCAAAATTTCAGCTCGCTAAGGGATTTAATGTTGCAATGGAACGAAAAGGCTAGCGGAAAAATACAGGAAACGAGTCAAAGCTTGTGGGTGTATCCGAAAAGCTATTGCAAATTCAATTTACCATTGAAATGGCTTTGAATAGCAACATGTCCTCGTGAGTGCACTGCTGCTTAGCAAACCACACGAAAAATTTTTATCCAACCGTTTGAAAGCCACAGGGGTTAGTTTCGTGTAAACTTTAGCGTAACGTCCATTCGCATGTCGTACTACATACCACGTGGTATGTATTCCGTTGATAGTACTATCAACGGAGTATCGACATTCCGAGAATTTTCATTTGCTTTTCATGCACTGTTCAGCCATCAAACAAAGGTTTTCAAAAGGAAAGAAGATATGATTATAACCAGAGACAAAAGTAATTTATGACCAAAAAATTGGAAAATCGTTAGGACCTAAACTGCTAACAAATACAATAGAAATAAAGTACTCAAAAGTACAGACTGTAAACTACATTGGATACATAAACGATGTTTCTAGAAGATGAAAACACAACCGAAGTGAAAACAGTAGTCTTGATACGTAAAAAAGGATTAAAAAAGTAAAATTTGCTGAGAGGAGAAATTTTATATTCAAATGGTTCAAATGGTTGTGGACGGAATAGAAGAAGCTTTCGCTTAACAGGATTCCGTGTCTAGTAGCAGGGGATCACCAAATCCTCCAGGCAGGAACCTAGGTATGTTAACAATAAAAGAGGAAAAGAAATTGGTAAATCATAGTATGATACTGTCCTTGGTCCTTAAGAATAGGTCAAGTTGCCTCTTGAAGGACTCCTGAGAAGTCGCTTGGACTAGCTCAGCGGGCAGCGAATTCCAGCTTTTGACAACTCTTAAGGAGTAGAAGTTGTGTCTACATCCCGTCTTGCTATATTGAGTTTCCAGTTTCTGGGTGTTAGCCCTTAGGTTAGTATTGGAACTAAGCTTGAGTAGGTGTTTAAGAGGATGTCCAGAAGTGTTAAGAATACTATAAGCCATTAATAAATCACCTCTAAGACGCCTATACTCTAATGGGTAAAGGTCTAGTGAATGGAGGCGTTCTTCGTAAGGCTTAGATTTGAGTCCGCGAACTGATTTCGTGGCTCGCCGTTGGATACGCTCCAAAGTGACCTTGTCCTTTTGGAGTGAAGTGGGAGTACTATATTTCCGTGCTCTAAATGGGGACGGATAAAACTAATGAAGATTGTATGGAAAGTTCTTCCGTCAAACTGGCCAAAAATGCGCTTCAATGTTACCAGTGCAAGGTTTGCTCGGAAGGCATTTTTGTCACAATTAGCGTAAGACTTTAAATCATGGGGCACCAGGACTCCTAAATCTTTTTCGACTTGGGATACTACTATAGAGGAATTTCTTAAGTTATAACTGTAGTCTGCGACATGTCGCAGATGGACTACTTTACACTTTGAAGTGTTAAACGTAAGTCCGTTATCATCTGCCCAACTTTGAAGTCGAGTCAGATCCTCTTGAAGTGCCTGTGTATCGTCTTGGTTGCGTATCTCTCTCCAAAGTTTCACGTCATCAGCAAAAAGTAATAAGTCTGACGTTACCTGTTGAGGAAGATCGTTTATGTAGATCAAGAAGAGGAGAGGCCCTAATACTGAGCCCTGGGGAACCCCACTAGGACATTCCATAGCCTGAGATAAAGTTAAATTAACCCTAACCCTAAAGTGTCGATTTTCTAGGTATGAAGTAAGCCAATCGATTAGAGGTGGTTTGATACCTAGTCGTTTGAGCTTATTGATAAGACACAAGTGGTTAACTTTATCAAACGCTTTTGAGAAATCAAGGTATATGATATCAACCTTTCCCTTGCGATCGAGGATGCTTGTTCATCTGTCCACCACAGTCAGCAGGTTGGTTATACAAGAGTAACCCTTCCTGAAACCATGCTGTTGGGGTGAGAAGAAGTTTAAGGACAGTAGATAATCGTTTAAACCATCGCATATCAGGGACTCCATGAGTTTTGAAGTTAATGACAGAAGAGCCACCTGCCGATAACTTGCAGGTTCATTGCGTCGACCCCCTTTGAAAATTGGTGTGATGTGAGCCAACTTCCAATTTTCCGGTAGTTTGCCTTGGCTTAGCGAGTGTGAAAACATCACGCTAAGCGGCGTTGCCAGGATTGAGGCTGCCTCCCTCAGTATGGCAGAATGAACCATATCCGGGCCAGGAGAAGTATCTAGTCTTAAGTGCTGCAGTTTCCGGAACACCAAGTCAGCGCTTAGGTCCACTTCGGAAAGCCCTGTGGAATTACAGGTGAAACTGTCGTCAATAGAGTTGATGTCAGCCGTTTGAAATGTTTGAGAGTAATGTTGATCTTCTATTTATCAAAGCGAAACTAGCATTACACTAGTTTAGCCGATATATACAAAAATTTATGGCAACACCGCCTTTTTAAGCTAAGAACCAAGTAGTAGCAATCATTCAGTTTAAGTCAACTGTTAGTCGTTTTAGTGCATCACGAAAGTCAGAGTATGTCAATAGAGCCAGTTTGAAGCTCGTTGCTGTGGTATATTTGTTCACCACAGTAATGTCTCTCCCTGAGGTTGGGAGGATAACTTCTGACACCACTTTCTTATTGAAAGTAATAGAAGAATATCTTGGCGGACCACCATGGGCTCAGGAATATTCAAAAAATGATGTTAAAGTTTGGTCAAAAGGGTCGAAAAATGATCAAATCAAGACTTTCAAGGCAACTGCCCTTTTCAAGGGAGTTTCAGGATCTGAGTTATTTGACTGCATCATGGATTCCGATTATCGAAAGGAGTGGGACAAGTCAATGATTGAAAGTTACGAACTTTGTCAAGTACACCCTCAAAGTGACATAGGATATTACTCTCGTATGTGAAATGCTTTTGATTGATCTGTTTTTAGTTCGTTCGCCTCCAGGGTTAAAAAACAGGGATTTCGTTCTTCAGAGAACATGGGAAAGGTTTGACTCGTATTATGTAATCGCATGCCACTCTATATTTCATAAGGTATGTTCTTTTGTAACTTTTTGTATCCAATACACTTACTTTCTCATCATCAGCATCATCCTGTCTTTATTCGTTTAACTCATTATCTCGTTTTAAAGCGTTACTGTGAGTCAGATTAAGCGAAATACTACTTTTTAGTGAATACGCAAGTGAAGTGCAACTATTTATTGATCTTTGTCTATATTTGGAATGTAACAGTGGAGTTCAGAACACGCTTTATGTCCCATTTATAACTAAACATTTACTGATCCTAACATCAAAGAAATCCAAATAACCGTTACAAATGTTGATCGGTTTATCTTATGTGTTGTTTGTTCACAAAGAAGTATAGTTCTGTTTAAACTAAATAATAATCGTTAACTTTGAGTATAGAAATCTAGGAGTTACAAAAAGCTGGTAGACCTGGAATGTACTGTTATAAAATCAAGGCAGTCTAGTGGCAAACATTTTTAAATGAGAAAGTTATGGTTAATTTGCATAAGATACTGTGAAACCAAAGAACTTTCCTGATTCTTCCGTATACTGTGGGCCTCATAAGTTGTACTATCACTTTCACCTATATCACACTTGTAACTTTAAAACTCATAACTATCGTATATAAGCACCAAAAGACTCATTATAGACTTCGTATTCCTATTAGTGTCTCGTGAAACTTGCTCAGTAAGAATTTAGGAAGCGTGAGGTATTTATTCACTCGAAGTTAAAAATAAACGCTGAATGTTTTCAGTAAACCAAAGTTAATGAAAAAGGACTCTCCGTTACCTGTTTTGTTTGTCTTTAATGCTGATGAACTCTGAGCCATCTGAGGCTTTAATCTATTAACTAATTCACCCCAGTACCCTGCTAAGTCATCTAATTTCTTTCTCAATAAGCAATATGTTTGAGATTTCTCAACGTTTTGTAATCTTAAAGTGACCACGTAGATGTAATTCTACTTAATAATCCACATACTTGAATGGACAGTTGATTTTAATCGGAGAATTAACATATTTATATTGGCATAAATAATAACTTCTCATAACTTTATCATGCAGGGAAGATATTAAGAGCCAGCAAGCTAGAGTTGACTGTTTTCGTATTGATACTAATTAAACTATTATGTGAATTTAAAGACCATTTGGTAGTAGTAATTTCTAATTATGACGATAATTATTGGAGTCCTCAATGATTTCTCCTTCCTGTTATTAGAATTTATTGAAAGTCAACCTTGACACCCTCGTATTCCATTGTATTTCAACTTTACTTTATCAAAATTTATGTCTCCGGATAGAATTTTTAAAAAAATCTTGTTTCAGAAAAGTTTGTTCATCTACAAAAGTGGACATATCTGTATCAAATCTCTATAGTTATAGATCACTTTTAGATATTCTATCCTGTTAGTTTTCACATCATAATTATATGGAGTTATTAATTTTCTTCGTCTTTAGCTTTTTTATTATTATTTGACATCATAATGTTTTACTGTCAGCACCACTGAATCTTCAAGCCTAAAAAGTAGTATCAAGTATCCTGATAAAATGCATATCACATAGAAAGCATACTGCATAATAGTTCGCCCCGTGCTAAAAGATGCTCATTAAAGCCAGGTTTTTGTAGATTGCTTGTATTGTGCTGTGAAGATTTCTGAAGCTTACTGCTTGCATGATAGGGCAATGAATTATGTTTTCAAACATTGAATACTGAAATCTAAGTAATAAAAACAGATCATTTTGTGTGGCTGTTAACCTGTACTGGCTGTGGTGGCCAGTACAGACAAAAGACACGCGGCGTCTCTTTGTTTCACCAAAGCATTAGAAATTTGTTATGTGGTCTTAGCCAAACTACTGCTTATTTTTTGTACTCCAAAATCATTCATTCACTCAATCTACTTAACTTAAGAAAACTCTTCAAATCTTGTTCAATTATTGCGAAACCCATGAATTTCTAACTTTAGACGGTTACTATCTCATTTCTCCAAATTTTTCATATCTACTTTCTAGTGACTTGAACTCTTTTATGAAATTCCTTCATAACTACAATCATACGATCTGTCCTATTCTGTTTCTGGACTTCGTTTAATTACTACGTAGTACCCTCCCTCTGTTTCTAAATTCCATTTTCAAATGACCTCACATTTGTTCACCTATCTATGTGTATAGTTATTATTGTTAATCTTTATTAATCTAGCCATTTTCCGTCACCAATGTGAATTGTTTCACATTAGATGTTACATTTCAATTTATATCAGTGTTTGTAAGCAGGTGATGAGAAACCACAAAGCATATGGAATTTATATTATTTTGCCTTGATTATTGTTTTGGCTTTATTTAAATGTCAGAATATAGGTAAAGATAAAGAATCGATAAATCAACATTATTACATTTTGTCTCCGAATGTCAGCCATAACGATCACCAAAAATAAATAAGTTTAAACTTGGATTAATTTTAATTTGGTTATTTATTCTCAGAAGAAATGGCTTGCATGCTCAAATTATTCAAACTTATCAAGTCAAACTTTGGTAATGGTACCTATCATCAAAAGGTTCGTACCCCCTCCCTCCCTTCAACACGGCTTCAAACTAACAATCATTGACGTCATATATTAATGCCATAGTTGCTCCCAACTACAAGTTATAGTTGAAACTCGTCCACATTAATAATCACTAATCATTAATGAGTGACTATGAGATTTGGTAGACTGATAAGTCTAAAATTTCTAGAAATAATCTTAATTATTATTATTTATATTTCTTTTTTTAATGAACTAAATTATTATCTGTTGTTCATATTGATTTTCAAGGGAATTCCTGTTCGAAAACAGTGTATCCGAGCATTAACCCATATGAATGCATATATTATTCGTCTTCTTGGTACAAATTCCTGTGAAATGACTTATGTCACCAGTTGTGATTTTCGTGGTTAGTATACAGTGTTTTTTTGTTAAATAGTTGTTTAATTCTATATTCAGAAAAAAGATTAGTGCTTTTGAGTAAACAAAAGGTCACAATAGAAAAGATCATAAATAAACTTGCGTACGCTTGCCAGGTCTTGTATCGATGATGGTCTGACGTATATAAGCTTTGTTTTATTGCATATATATATATATATATATATATATATATATATATATATATATATATATATATATATATATATACTGAATTCCTGGCCAGTTCTTTAGTATTTTATTGTGACAAATTGTTTTACTTGTCACGATTCCATTTCAACTATACCATCAGTGAGATTCTGTAAACATCTTTGAAGCATATCGTAATAGTGTAAGTCTATTATCTGGAGAAAGATTTTCTGACTTTGAGTACACTGAAAAATTTGTCTTCCTGCGGAATAACACACAAGGTGTATGTGTCACACTCAATCAATTGTCAGTTAATGTTTGCAGGTACGACATGTACTTTACCAAATTTCAAACGTATTATTCTTGTACACAACCGGCAGTAACCTGTATCTGCTCTCACGTTTTGTGGTAAGCCGCTAAAAGTTGTCAAAAGCTCGTGCCTCTTGATAGTTATATCAGTGTTGATGGTGGTATTACGGAGGAAATCAACTTAGATATATTGGACTTCAGGGTGGCGTATGCCAGTTTGGCATATTTGACGTCACTAATGTTAATCTGATTGCAACAGGTGGATTCTCCAATACGTCGATGAGAGCGGTTCCGCTGCATGCTTGTGTAACTCGTGAACTCTGAGATGAGGATGAATAGTGTATCTGGGTTAGATCACTGTTACTTTAGAAGGAATGATAACATATGACGAAAGCCCCATGTTAGTAATGCTGGAGTTCAACAAGATATATTTTAACACAGTATCCGCTATTGAGTTAGTGCTACCATCGTAAAACGCTAGTTTTGGTGACTTAGACATGTTTTATTTGTCATCGAAATGGCTTCCACGTCGTACATTAATTACTAACACTGGGACTTGGTGCAAAAAGCAAAGAGATAGTGTATTATATAAGTATCCACTGTTTCATCACTGCTCCTTGGTTGGAGTCTCAGAAATGCGACTCATGAGTTTAATACATTATTAGGAATGACTGTAATGGAAACCTAAAACAGGATCGTCAATGGCTTCTACTTTTAGTCATTCCTAATAATGTATTAATACTAATGAAGCAATCTTCCTCAAGATTTTCCTGTATCTTTGGCCGAACTATCTCTCTTATTGTATACTATTTCAATTCATTTCTCTGTTAATTGTTACTTATTTATGCCTGTCAACCCCCGTAAAGGAGCATAGGCCGCTCATCAGCACTATCCATCCAGCTCTGTCATGGGCAATCCCTTCTAGTCCTTTCCGGTTGGTATTCATCTTTTTGATATCTGCCTCCAATTCTCGATGCAGTGTGTTCTTTGACCTTCCTCTTTTCCGTTCCCCTTTACGATGCTAACGTAGTGCTTATTCGGGATGCAGTTTGGTGATTCATGTAATATATGTCATATCCACTTCCAACGTCTTTCCCTTACCTGGAAGCCGGTTCGTTCTCTCCCACAGTAAGGTGTTGCTGATGGCATCCGGCCAACGGACATTGAGCATATTGCGTGGACAGGTTATAAATACTTGTACTGTTTTGATGATGGTTGTAGTGTTTCTCCAAGTTTCAACTCCATACAATAAGACTTACCGTTTTGACGTTTGTATTTAGGATTGTGGCTTTGATGTTTGTTGACAGACAGTTGTTTCGAGTTCCATATGTTCTTCGATTGTAATAATACTGGCCTTAATTTGCTAATTCTCGCCTTTACATCTTCATCGGTTTCTCCTTGTTCATCGATGATGCATTAACGTGAACGCTTCCACCTCTTCTAGAGCTTCTCCATTAAGTGTGATTGGGTTGTTGTCCTCTGTGTTGTATTTGAGGATGTTGGGTTTTTCCTTCTGTATGTTGAGGCCAACTGATGTGGAGACACTGCTACACTGGTTTCCTTGATCTGCATTAGTTCGTGTGTATGGGATAGAAGAACCCAGGCCATATGCGAAGTCCAAATCCTATAGTTTCATCCACCATGTCTACCGTATTTTATGCTTCCCCTCAAATGTGGAGGTCTTCATAATCCCGTCACACACAAGAAGAAAGAGAAAGGAGAAGGTAAGCAGCCTTATCTGACTCCGGTCCTCATTTATAATGCATCTGTCAGTTGTCCTCCATACACTACTTTGCAGTAAGTCAGTTGTATGGATTCCGGATGATGTTGACGATCTTCTCAGCTACTACTCACTCCATAGTGTCGAAGAAGTTTTCATAACGTTCTCCTATCCACGCTGTCGAACGCTTTCTTATAGTCGTCGAAGTGACGAATTCCATTCAGTTAATTGCTCAACGATGATCCGTAGTGTCGCGAGTTGGTCTGTGCACGACTGATCCTAACGGAATCCGGTCTGTTGGTCTCGTAGCTTTGCATCCACTGTGTCTTTCACCCGGTTCAACAATCCGTTGAAATCTTTTCCTAGTACTGACAGTAGTGTGATTCCTCTGTAGTTTTCATATTTGCTCATATATTTCCTTGTTATCTTGATGAGATGTCCTTCTTTCCAGTCCGTTGGCACTTGTTCTTCTTCCCAACTCTTCCTGGATAGGATGTGAAGCATGTTTTCAGTTGCTTCTATACCCGACTACAGTGCTTCGGCTTGTATATTGTCAGGTCCTGCAACCTTCGTTGGTGGAGTGACATCTATAGGAATGTCTGTGTATGCTGCTTCGATGTCTGGTGGATTCAGTGAAGCTGGCCATTTCAAGAGTTCCTCCAAGTGTTCTACACACCTGTTCCTCTGTTCTCAAATCTCGGCGACTGAATTGCTTTCTTTGTCTTTGACTGGTCTTTCTGGCTTACTATATTTTCTTACTAGTTTCTTCATTGTGTCATATAGTTGTTTCATATTTTCTTCTCTTGCAGGTTTTTTCGCCGTTGTTGCTAGTTCTTCCACGTTCAAATGCTCTTTTTCTCTTGCTTGTTTGCTTCTGTGTACTCAGCCTGTGCTTTGACTTTCTCTGATCGTGTTCGGCTGTTGTTGATTGCTGTCTTCTTGTTCTTCCTTTCTTTGATCTTGTCGAATGTTTCTATAGAGATCCATTTCTTTATGATGATGTTTGCTATCATTGGATAACATCCGTTGTGACTCCCTTCTTTGTTTTGAAGAGTGCTTTGACGGTCATGAATCCATGAGATTCCCACCCACTAAGTGCATGTCATGGATTTTCAGACTGCATCAGAGCAACACACTGATTGTGTGGAGCATTTTCCTCTTCGTGACCGGAGTACAGCAGCATCTCTCCCGGGTTGTGTCCAATAGGCTTCTCTGACTCCGAGTACTTCCAAGTTGTATCTCCTCATTTCATTTGCTATTTGACTGGTCCTTCCAGTCTCCCACCTTGTCCAGACGTTCCATGTACCTATAAAAATTGTTGCTCTGGTTGTTAGAAGGAGCATCAGCTTCGTGACTTTCGAAGAATTTCGGCTTTCATGAGGCGTCATAATTCTTCATTCAACCCTCATGGCAGAGTTTAAATGGTTTAATTTGTTCAGTCTGGTTAGCGTTTTTTCTACGGCATGGGCTTGCCGATCCCATCCCCAACCCTCCTCCTTTACCCGATCTTGTGACCGGCAGTAACACTAGAAGAGCTATAGGCAGAGTTTTATGAATTGTACCACCCTTTTATTTTCACAGTATTATTTCTTGGGTTTCGTTATGGTTCATTATTGTAGACAAAATAATAAAACTGGTCTTCCGAAAGACTGATCTCTGTGTTACTGCACGTTTCATCAATTTCATAATGAAAGTGACAAAAATATATTTCATGGATTTATGATTATTAGTTTTCATGACATATAATTTCAACAGTTGAGATCATGAGTCAATTGAAGCTAGACCACCATGGGAAAACTGGAAGCACTGGACGGCCATTTCACCCCACCGTGGAACCCCTCAGCAGCGCGCATCCACAACCCCGCCTCACGAGATTCGAACCCAGGACCTATCAGTCCCGCGCCAGGCGCTTAACCAACTAGACCACTGAGCCGGCCGGCATCCAATGGTGTTAATGTCTAACTTCAACTAATCCACGAAATTGAGCGACACATCCAACATTGTCATCAGTGAGTTACTATCTCACAACAGACCTGGTTGAACTCCACTGGTCACTGTTTCTCACTAGAACTCCAGGATATATATCTTGAAGCCAGTCACTAGTGAGCATCTGTTGGTTAGTATCAGAAGGGGTTTTGTGGAGATTGTAGTAATTTAAACAGTTGAGATCATGAGTCAATTGAAACTAGATCACCATGGAAAACCTGGACGCATATATAATTTTCACAGATTGAACTCATGAGTCAGTTGAAGCTAGACCACCATTGAAAACCTGGAAGCACTGGACGGCCGTTTCGTCCTAGTATGGGACTCCTCAGCAGTGCACATTCACGACCCCGCACCACTCGGGCCTCGAATCCAGGACCTATTGGCTTCGCGCGCGAGCACTTAACCATTAGACCACTGAGCCGGCATCCAACGGTGTTAATGTCTAACTTCAACCAATCCACGAAGTTGCGCTACCGTACACCATTGTCTCCAGTGAGTTCCTATCTCAAAACAGACCCGGTTGAACTCCACTGGTAACGACTTCTCACTAGAACTCCAGAAGTGTCTCCTGAAGTCAGTCACTAGTGAGCAGTGAGGAGTCCCATACTAGGACGAAACGGCCGTCCAGTGCTTCCAGGTTTTCAATGGTGATCTAGCTTCAACTGACTTATGATTTCAATCAGTGAAAATTTCTAAAAATCTCCACAAAACACATTCTGAGCATATATAATTGTTCTAATTATTCTTGAATTACTAACATCTTAAAAGTGTTTTCTGCATTTATTCAGTACCAATGGTCTTCCAAAATAAAGTATGATCTGTTGTACATGGATTTCGGTGGAGTTTTGTTCTCTGAGCTGGATGGTTTGGTCGTGGAGCTTTCATCGTTCTTCTGAACGACATCATCAGCAAAAACTTCAGATAGAAGACTTCTATCTGAAGTTTGTGCTGATGATGTCGTTCAGAAGAACGATGAAAGCTCCACGACCAAACCATCCAGCTCAGAGAACAAAACTCCACCAAAATCATCCACCTGAGCTACAAATCTTCTCCACCATCTCAGTTGTACATGGATGTTTATTGAAACAATCAGAAAATAATTCATAACAACCCACATTTATTTATTTATTTATTTGAACACATAAATATTGGTACTAAGGGGCACCGAATACATATGCGTCACACATATCTCATTTCATTTGTGTGAGGGATGTGATACTGCCTGGGTGCCTAAACCGAAACTGGTGGTTTTCTTCGGGGGCCACACCCGAAGCCTTCGATCTGAAGGTCTGATCCACAAGGCAGTGGAGCATCGTAAAGAGATGCAGTCTCATGGTAGCCGGTGACCAATGATTGATACATACACCATTTGTTCCTTCAGGATCCTGGAGCCCATGTGCACCATTGGTTTTGAATCAGGGTTTTCCAACTCCCCTAGGTGGACTCTCAGTGTCCACCAACCCGGTTAAAGCGCCGGGCATTCGCTTTTCGTCCTCTCAATTTTTGTAAACAACACCCTCGCCACTAGAAGTCAGTGAGCAGTACTTTCCTGTCAGAGGCTGTATACGCCTGGCCATGTGAGAGCATTTCTAGAAGATGTACGGACTCCTCACTCTCGGCCGTACCAGGGCATTTGGGGGCCATAACAACCCACTCTAATAAGACACTTAAATACGTTATGACTATTATCTTGTAATTGAAAGTTTATTCAACAAGGGGTTTCTTCTCAACTCTAATACTGAAACCCATTCCGTTTTGGTATTTTAAAGTTGATAACTTTGAGCTGATAGATACTTGAATGAGTTATCGACTAAATTGAACTAAAGATCTTTTCAGAGCATTCGGTATACTGAGATTTGTTGGCATAATTACACTGAGTTTGATTGTTATTTCTAGGTTTATTTCAGCAAAAAATGACTTGTCTAATTACTTCTTTCTCTCTGTTATTTGCTTGTGGAGGTATTCATCAAATTTTGTTTAGATCCATGTGCTTTATTTTTGTTTAAAAGAATATATCAAGCCACTAGCGCTTAGTATCGTAAAATTGTTCAAGCAAATTTATGATGTAATCTTAACACCCAGGACAAGTAAAGTGAATTAAGAAAGAGAACGTCGAGACTCTTGTCTCCACCTTAGATTTAAAGAATGTATGTATATCCTTTATTTAAAAACGAGGCGAGTTAATAACTGTCGATTCGTATAACCTAATATCATGGCATCATACTTAAATCAGTAACTTTGTAACTAAAGCGCTTTTAAATTTCTGGCCGTAGGTCTCAAGTTTGAGAGCTTCTTTTCTGGTGCTCATATTGCATTAGTTTTAAGTGGTACAGATTAGCGTTTGATGAAGGTCCTACGGAATCGAACTATAAAACATAATATTAGATAAGTAGTCTACTTCACTTTAGCATGTTTGAAATCGAACTAGTTGTTAAGTTAGAATGCATACCCTATATGTCTGATCTTGGTCTTATAAGACTATAAAGTTGGTTTATCCAGACCTGAGTCACCTGATGATCAGGTTCGAAACTTTGTTTGGCTGAAGCGACTGGGGGTACATGTCCCACGTGTCCGAACACTATAAGCAACGACAGCAGTTATATTGCTCATTATCAACCATATTTAGACTAATGATAGGGAATGAAGTACTTGAGCTTACCGACCGCTACAAACTATATTAAGAATTTCATCAGTTCTAATGGTCTAGTGTCTGACGAAATCTCGGCACGGATTGAAAGAACTTACCGCCGAGTAAGCAATTAATGCGTTAGCAATAGGCCACTAGGTAAAGATGGCAAATCAATTGATGAGGTAGTGAATCCTCATCATCAACTGAGTTGGTTTGGATATGTATTATGTGTCCCAACCACCATCTACCTCGATATGCGATGTCTGGTGTAGGGGTAACTCGGGAAAAAAGTAGAGCGGCCAAACCGAGGCATGGCACCAGTCCATGAAGTCACTGACTATTGTAATGACCCATGTTAACAGGTGTATGCATTCTGGTCTGCGTGATTACCGTAATCAATGGTTTAAAACTTTGAATGACATGACTCAAAACCTTTTACAATGACGCAGGGGTATCCATCCTTTGTCCTCCCTCAGGTTTTAAGATTCTGAATTCCTCATAACTTTTTTAATTCACTGACTTATATTCTCTTGAATCGTATCTTCGATGCTTAACCTCCTATATTACTACTAATATTGTTATTTCCCCTAATATTCTGGAATTCGGCCTAGCAATTTCATCTCTCTTTACTAATGGAGTGTGGCGATTCTAACCGATGTACATAAGTACCAAATTCTACTTTGCGTTCGATTGAATGACTGATGTTTATTTTATATACAAAGTCGTAATTGAATATTATCCTTATTTAGTTAATCATATCGAAGAATCATTGAATTTCCTGAGGTTTCAATTTCCATTATAGAGTTTAGATTTCTATCAAAATTAATGTATTAATTCATAGATGCCTTAATCCCGTCTTACATGTGCTCCATAATGCGATTAACTTCAGACTTTTCTTTTGACACATTAAGATCTCTACAAACTATTCGTCTATATTGTATTTTTAATGTGTTATCTACCCTAACCCCTTTCATAAGCACGTTTATATCGGTTTTTGTTTTCTAGGTAAACTACCCATATGGGTAATTAACAAGGCCACACAGTTCATGGCTCCTCGAGCAATTCAAATATTGTACAAAGCATGCACTAAATATAATACTTGGAAAAAATCAAATAATCCCGATTATAAACCGTGGTTATATCCTGGTCAAACCAATCTACCATTGTTATGTTGGGATGATTTGGATCAGACAGCCAATTTAGGACCTACTGATGACGGTGGTGATGTTACACCATTACCATCTGATGAACCTGTTCTATTGGATAGAAATGGCAGTTATAATAGTCGAGAAGAACAAGAAGATGTAGAAGAAGTAGTAGAATTCGATTCAGTACCTGTAGAGGATCAAATACAATCATGTGTCACTGCAACTTCTATTGCTACTGTATCGGATTCTAGATAAATTGATTGTATAGACTGTCATTTAGTTGTTTGTTTATCAGTTTGTTGGTAATTGAAAAAAAAATCATCTCAATTGTTCAGGTGAATAGGTGCACAAATTCATTTTGAATATGATATGATTTTATTATAGATTGAACTTATTACGGTCTACGGGTTTTTATGATCACGTTTGTTTTAATGAGATGGTGATGATGTTAATCAGTTACCAGCTTTGTTTTAATTTATTTTCTTCAAACTAAACATAATGATGATGTGGAGGAAACAACGGTTTTTGTTGTGGAGGATTGTTTGTTTGTTTAGGTGTGTATCTTCTACCCTAATTGACATGTTGTACACACTAATACTTCCTGTTGTATAGAAAGAAAATTGGTTTATTTTTTCTAATGTCTTTTTGTAAAAAAAAATGTAAAAGAAAACAGTTTATTAATTACATTTTAAAAAATGCACATTATGTATTTCTCATTTGTTAGTATTACAAGAACAGAGAGAGAGGGGGGGAGAAGGGAAGGGAAGTTGTGGAAAATATATGTCAATGCTAGACTTCTCTTTTCTCCACTTCTGTGCTCGAGACTTTGTTTCCCTGTGAACTTTGTAATAAGTTGTGTGTATGTGTGTACATCTTTCTGTGCCTATATTATAAATACTTCACGTATACTCGATATTATCTACAAACTATATTTTTGTATGTTCTTTCATGGGGGGAAATTCTTGTAAAAGAATATATATATATATATACCCCAGAAATATATATATATTTTTCACTAATGCGTTTTCATTTTTGGTTGTATATTTTCTGGTGTGTTTTCTTTTTCTTATTTCAACCTTTTGTATATTGTATTTTATGTTTGCCAACAACAGTGATAATCTAGTAATTGGTACTTGCCATAAGTTGTTCTTTTGATTGTGATTATCCTAAAGTGACTTAAATAGTCCAATTCAAGTTTGTAAACTAAGAATCTTGTATTGCTGTTTAAACCTGATGCTGGCTACTTCATAGAATTGATAGGTTTCCATTTTACTATTGAGAGGTATATTGTAATTTGATCCGGTCCGTGGATGCCTGTATTGATCTACGTGCTTAGCCATTGGTGAATATATGACTGACAACGTAATGACTTATAGGGCGATTATACTGTATATAAAATAGTATGGGGGTTATGGAGTATATCTCATTTTATCAGTTAGACAACACTCGATGATCTTTCCGTTACCATGGTAGTTGAACGTTAACCATGACTCAGTAGCTAAGTACATAATGCGATGGCGTTTCAATTGAACGGTAATGGGTTCGAGTCTCTGAGTAGACGTCAAAACTAGGATGCAGGTACATCCAACTGACGAGTTGCAAATAGGATGAAATGGCGCGCATCCTGGATTCCACTGTTAACCACTATCCATCTTTGCTGCCCTCAAATGGCCTGGTATGGCCGAGAGTGGGGTGGGCCCGCCCTCCCTCTCGAAACGCTTTCACACGGCCATGCGTATACAGACTTTGCCAGGGAATCCTACTCACTGCTTTCTCGTGGCGGGGGTAATGTTTACGAAAATGAGAGTACGAAAAGTGAATGTCAATGGTGCACATGGGCTCCAGTATCCTGCGGGAACAAATGGCGTATGAACCAATCGTTGGTCACCGGCTACCATGGGCATGCATCTCCTCACGATGCTCCACTGCCTTGTGGATCAGACTTTCAGATAGAAAGCTCTGGGTGTGGCCTCCAAAGAAAACCACCTGCTTCGGTCTGGGCACCCAGGCAGTATGGTGTGGCGCATATGTATTTGGTGCTCACTTGTACCAATATTTATGTATTGAAATAAATAAATAAAATAGAACGTTAACCACATTGACTCGTTGTTGAATATAAATGTCGCATTCTAATTAATTGTATTTTAATTATGTTTGTATTATATATTCTGTAAATGAACATATCAATTCGTTTCGCAAAATGATTCACATTTTGATGATCAGTTATCCTGCTTTTTCGTTTACATTCATTGAGAAGTCACGTCCATTATTAGTTACATTGGTAAGAAATTATCATTAAACTACCATAGAATTATACCAAGTAGATCGAGTGATAGATCAGTCGTACAAATGTCCTATAATGCATACAATCGATTTGTTTGTTATCACAATGTTTTCATGAAACAATCAATCAAAGCAGTTTTGTGTGTGTTAATAATATGGATTGTATAAGTAATCATTTTCATGATAAATATACTTTATTACTATAGTGACAGGTGTGTAGTACCTGCAGTGGATAAGAATGAAATGGAGATAGGATGATTAAAAATAAATATTTTATCAGTGAATTGATTGAAGTTAGATATTAACTCTGTCATATGCCTGCTCAGTGGTTTAGAAGTTAAGCGTTAGCACGTGAAACCGAAGGTCCTGGATTCAACTCTTGCGGTTGGAGTTATGGATACACATTGCTAAGGAGATCCATATAGTGACGAAACGACCGTTCAGTGCTTCCAGGTTTTTAATGTTGGTCTAAGTTAAATCAGTTCATGAATTCGATAAAGTATTTTAACATTGAAAACATTAAGAATATCGTGAAGATAATCAATCAGTCAAAATTACCTAATGCTAATGTATGAATTTGTATTCTAGACATTTTAAGATGTAAGGAGACCCATGAGAAGTATGGGTCCCGTGTAGAATTAACTGGGTAAAAAGGGTGAGAGTAAACTCCACTCTTGTTCTCACTTTTGATCTTGTGCCTGACAACCAACCAAAATAAAGCAAGAATTATTATTTACACTACCGTAATCTATGATAGAGGGCATGTTTCATTCTCTGACATTTTTGCTGGCTTACATGAATAATGTAAAGTTTTCTACAACAAAAATACCACTCAATCATGATATAGACGTGTCAAATGTAGCGCAGTCAGTCGTGGTGGAAGAAAAATCACAACATAGCAGAATTTATACTTACGCCTTTTACCCCTCGTGGAGGAGCATAGGCCGCCCACCAATAGAATTCATACCTTCAATTAATTCTAAAATACTTAAAACCAAGTGACTAAATAAATGAAAACGTAGTCGCAATTACTGACACTTAAATGATTTGACAACACGGTGTTTATCCCCAACTGATTTAAATACATTATTCAGTAGTTTAATTTTGATAAAAACCTAAATTGAAGCTTTTGTTTATTGTAACACTAATAAGTAAAATCAATTTGTAATCTCATGACACTTACTAAGCTTTTAAGGATTAAAGTATAGAATTCAAATAAAGAAGATTAGTCTACTACTGCCGACGATGTTTACAACATAGTCTTCAATAAATAGTTCATATAGGGCTATGCTGTTGGGACATATGTTTTATCATATTTGGAATGTTGGGATAGAATTCAGTGGAAAGAAAGCAGCTAATAACTATATTCAATGAAACAACTAAGCTAGTGAATGAACATTGACTTAATAACCATAATAGTTGGGTTTAATTTCGCTATTTTACTCTCAATCACTGATAGATTAACTTAGATGTCATTTTACTACTATCATTCTGTTTAATACGAATATCCAAAAAAAGGTAAACAGAAAAGAAAACATGAACTCTTAACTCAATCAATAAACACCATAAAACAATATATTTACATTTCATGACAAGACTAATTTAACAATGTACTTGAAATGAGTCACAATAGTCAAGCTTCAAGTGTGTTACCATGTGCTTTCTTTCAATTTGCTTCAATAATATTAAAAAAAGTAATGTATTTGTTATCATAAAGGGGTTTTGTGGAGATTACAGTAATTTAGTAGTTGATTCCATGAGTTAATTAGAGCTATACCACCATGGAAAACATGGAACCACTGAATGGCCGTTTTATCCTAGTATGCGACTCTTCAACAGTGCGCATCCACGACCCGGGATTCGAATCCAGGACCTTTGATCTCGCGCGCATCGGCATCCAACAGTGTTAATGTCTAACCTTAACCCATGGTCAGAAGGTTAAGTGTTCACGCGTGAGACCGATAGACCCTGGTTTCCAATCCTGAGTGTATGATCATGGATGCGCACTGCTGAGGAATCTCATACTAGGAGAAAACACCTATCCATTGATACTAGGTTTTCCATGATGGTCTAGCTTCAAATGACTCCCGAATCTAACTATTAAACTGTATTTATTTATTGTTTAGTGTTTTTTCTTTCTTTCTTTTCTCAAGTTTAAACTTTATTTGCTTTTAATGAATAATTCCATTCATTATTGAATCCAAATTATATTGATTAAACCAACATAGAATCATATGATTTGAGACATTTAGTGTAAAACAAGTATTTTTTTACGCCACAAATTTATATTGTTCATTTGTGTTTGCTATATATATATATATATATATATATATATATATATATATATATATATATATATATATATATATATACAACTTAATTCCTTTTTTAAGTTTCTTCTTTGTATATAATCATGATCTCAACATACACTAAGGGAAAAGCAAGACTCTCCGATACAACACAACATGCAACAATCGAATCACACTTAACAGAGAAGATTTGGAAGATGTCAAAACCTTTACATATCTGGACAGCATCATTGATGAGCACGGAGGATCTGGTGCATATGTGAAGGTGCGGATCTATAAAGCAAGAACAGCATATTTACAACTGAAGAATATCTGGAACTCAAAATAACTGTCAACCAACATCAAGGTCATAATTTTCAAAACAAATGTCAAGACAGTTCTACTGTATGGGGCGGAAACCTGGAGAACTACGAAATTCATCATTCAGAAGATACAAGTGTTTATTAACAGTTGTCTACATAAAATACTTCGGACGAGTTGGTCAGACACTATCAGTAACAACCTACTGTGGGAGAGAATAAACCAGATCCCAGCGGAGGAAGAAATCAGGAAGAAGCTCTGAAAATGGATAGGACACACATTGAGGAAAGCACCCAGCTGTGTCACAAGGCAAGCCCTTACATGGAATCCACAAAGGCAAAGGAGAAGAGGAAGACCGAAGAACACATTACGCCGAGAATTTGAGACAGATAAACATTAGAGGAATGACATATATAAGCGAACAATATTGTTTTCGATTAGATCCTCATCAGGCTTTACTCTAAGATGGTGATTCCGCAATTGAAGGATAAGTTACCTGGTTATGCCACTTCTATGTGTATCTACGAATTCAGCTGCTCCTGTGGAGAAAGCTATATTGGGCGCACTACCAGGCAACTGAACCAACGAGTTAGTGAACACCTCCCATCGTGGTTCGGAAAAGGTTACGTCAAAACAATACGCAGCTCGGTTCTATCACACTTGATCGATAGCGGTCATATAGTAGACAGAAACAAGTCGTTCAAAGTTATTTATCGGATTCCCACTAGTTTTCCTTATGATGTTCGATCTCGTCTCTTACACATAGCAGAAGCTCTAGGAATCCGAACCAACAAGCCAAGTCTTTGTGTTCAGAAGAAATTTGTAACTCCCTTATCTCTCCCTTGACCTTAATTAATAAATGGATTTATTTATTTATTCTTTTTTTTCTAACTTTCTCTTCGTTTATTATTTTTCTTCACACCCTCCTACCACTTTATTTTCTCTCAACTATACGTTTCATGGTCCAATTATCTGAACATTTCTTATTACGTCATCTTATAATTTTATAATTGTTATCGCAGGTTCTATATTTTTTTCTAATCATTGACCTATTTCAGATTATGTAACATTGATTTGAACCTTTATTATTATTGCTTATCAAAAACTAATGCACCTGTTGTCACACCATCAATTTGTACTTTTCACATTTTACTTATTATGTAATCTTTTCCATTGTTATCATTGACTTATAAACTACTTTGATTGGTTTAATAATTTCGTATATGCATATAAATATTACTGTATATTAG